GAATACCCACTCAACCATCGTGTTGCGAAGGAGCTGAAGCGTCGGAAAGGGATAAGGGTCCCTGCTAGCAAAAAGATGCTATTTTCGGATCACAAGACAGATTTCCATACCTTTCATCGAGAACAAAACCAATGATATGTATGGTACTGCATAAACTACACATCATCTGTATCATCAGATCACACGTTCTAAGCAGCAAGGCATGATGACGTCCTATATGTGCATCTGCATATGTACTGAGATTTATATTTGTGATTATGTATGTGCTCTACAGTATTCATGCGAAATCTCCAGTCATCAGACATTCGACCAGGTTACATGCTTGTTTTGAGGATGATGGTCACAAACCGAAAGTATCGAAAGGTCCCTAAAAACCAACGGGCGGAAGCCGAATCCATCGAAAGGTCCCTAAAAAACCTAAAAAACCTATTCTCCAGGTCTACTCGGAGAGAAGCTATGAAAAGATTGGTTTTTTAGGGACCTCTCAGTACTTTGTGATGGTTGCAAGCCGAAAACATCGAGAGGTCCCTAAAAAACCAATGGGCGGAAGCCGAATCCATCGAAAGGTCCCTAAAAAACCTAAAAAAACCTATTCTCCAGGTCCTTTCGGAGAGAAGCTATGAAAAGATTGGTTTTTTAGGGACCTTTCAATACTTTGTGATGGTTGCAAGCCGAAAACATGGAGAGGTCCCTAAAAAACCAATCTTTTCAGAGCCTCCCTGGGAACATAGCTTTGGAATAGGTTTTTTAAGTTTCTTAGGGACCTCTCGATGGATTCGGCTTCCGCCCATTGGTTTTTTAGGGACCTTTCAGTACTTTGTGATGGTTGCAAACCGAAAACATCGAGAGGTCCCTAAAAAACCAATCTTTTCAGAGCCTCCCTGGGAACATAGTCTTGGAATAGGTTTTTTAGGCTTTTTAGGGACCTCTCGATGGGTTCGGCTTCCGCCCATTGGTTTTTTTTAGAGACCTTTCAATACTTTGTGTGGTTGCAAGCCGAAAACATCGAGAGGTCCCTAAAAAAACCAATCTTTTCAGAGCCTTTCTAGATCACATCTAACAGGCAGCATCCCGAAAGCAAACGACGCATCAGACAGACAGTATCCCAAACCAAACCCTGAACCCAACAACCCTCCACGTTGCGCCAGGGTAGACAACTGAGACGTCGACCTGAAGCAACAAAAAGGTAGGTCACGGTGGGGGGGGTACCATATATATATATGTATACATACTATATATACACATAACTATGTACTCTAGGATTCTCATTCAGGACAAGCGCTCAAGTCCTCGAGGACCTCTGGAGCCGCAGACTCCGAGGACTCAACGACCTGACCGCTCTTCAACTTCGGGCGCTTGGGGATGTCCTTCGGTTTAGGGCCTAGGCCTTAGGGCTCTGGCATTTGGGTTTAGAGTTCTCTTGTTTGAGGGCTTAAGCTTTAGGCATTAGGGCTTGGGGCTTCTGGCATTTGGGTTTAGAGCTCTCTTGTTTGAGGGCTTAAGCTTTAGGCATTGGTGGGATTTCGAGTTTTGGGTTGGGCTTCTAGGGCTTCGGGTTTGGCTGGTTTTGCCCCCTATATCCAGGTTTAGGAGGTGTTGTGCAAGCCTTACCTTATGAGGCATGCTAGAACGGCTGCCCTCCTTTTGTTGAACGACAGAGGTTACCATAAGTACTATTATGAGGGTTACTATAAGTACGATTATGAAGGATACGATAAGTATGACTACGAGGATTACTCTAAGGATTATTATGATGGCTTCCATACACGTTTTTATTATAAGGTTTGGGAACCCCAAATCAATCACCGCCCAGCCTCAAACCGTAGCTTGGCCAAGATCGATGCAACATTCACATCATCATCATCATCATCAGCGCTAGTCTCAGTGAGCCTATCAGCAAGAGCAATACAAGACAATCCTCGGAATCAGGTTACGGATTCCGAACTCAAACTCCCGGGTTCTGGCACACCCGAAGAAGAGAACCCCCCTCTCCGAGCCTTAAACGGCACGCCGGCGCCGTTCAAGACCATCTTCTTACCTGGTCTCAGATGTATCGACGACGACGGCGACAAGAGTCGCGAAGTAAAACTTCACCATGGCCACGAGCATCACGATCAATACCACCGCCGCATGAGCAGCATCACTTCACTCGCCAGCATCGTCATCATCACCACCACCCTCATCATCATCGTAATCATCACCACCCTTGACAACAACTAGAAGATGATAGCATCCTTACGTGATCACCCTCTATATATATATATACATACATACAAACATATATCTACTTGTTTGATTTGTGTTTTTGGATGTATGGCTGAGCTACTGTGTACTATCTATCTATGTGCCTATCTGCCCATCCATCTATCATACATCTATCCGTCTGTCCTCTCGATCTACCCATCTATCGACCTATTTATTTACTTGGCTATCTAGCCAGCTAGCTATCTAGCTATCTAGCTACCTAGCTATTATCTTGGTATCTAGTTATCTACCTATCCATCTATCTATCTAGCTAGCTAGCTAGCTATATATCTACCTATCTAGCTAGCGCTAGCTCGGTAGCTAGCTATCACTCTCCCATATGCACACGTAGATGTTGAGTTCGATCTACATATATTACGAACCTACATATATTACGAACTGTTGACTGCAATGTAAGATCGGTTTAGGCTTTAATCCCAGCGACATGCGTCGCCCAAGAAAAGCCTCGTGGACAGAGTTGGTGCAGCAACTGAGCCCGAGGCTGTCGTCGCCTAGGCCGATTGGAAGCCTAATGGATTTTTCGAACAGCTGAGTCGAGTTTGTTGCGGGGTGTCTTGAAAGCCCCGAAGTGCTCAACCCTTCTGTTCACGTCATGCACCCGATACGCAAGACTTCGCAGACTATACCTGCTTGACCCGCATAACGTCGTAACGTGGCCTCTGCTTCCACAAATGATCGTGGCCGTTGCTGCTATTGCTTTGGCTTTGGCTTGCGCTCCATAGTCTAATTGCGCGGTCAAACTCGCACCCCATCGACTTGGCATGTCTTCTAAACACCCAACAGCAAACTATGCGAAACCTCGGTCCCAATGCAAGCTTCAAGCGGCGAATCCACATCATCCAAAATTGTACCTGGCCGCCGGGGTGCGGAAGCGCCCCGCGACGGTCGGCAGCGCCTCCGTGTCTAAAGATTCAGGCTACTATTTAACAATGTCTACAGCAACAAGACTTAGCTAACCTTGTCACTGCGTACGAGACTGCGCTACAACTAACCATGAGATTTTCGCTATCTGGTATAGCAAATCTGTTCATTGATATTCACAAACAGGTTGAAACCAGAAAACATGTGATATGTTGATGTGTAACACCTGATGCGATGCAGTACAGAAGAACATACGCTGCAACCTTAACCGGCAACGCTGAACCGAGACCCCTACACCCCGCGTTCCCCCTCAAATTCCTCCATCCCCACCCCGCCCCCCTCTCCCACCACGTGCGTGCCTTCAGCGCCTTGGCCAGGGAGGACTTGAGCCGTTGCTCGTCGAAGCCCGGCAGCCGCAAGGCTAAGGCCTCGGTGGACAGAGTTAGGGCTTTTAGGGCTTTCGGGTTTTAGGGTCTAGGGAGTAGGATCTGAATCTACATGTTGTTGACGGATGTCTTCCACAATGTCTCCCATGTGGAGAGCCTCAATGAAGCGGGCTGCTTCCGAGCACTTTGTGCTCTTGACCATAACTTGCTAGGGTTTAGGATTTGGAGTTTGAGTTTCAGGGTTTGGGGTTTGCGAGTCTTGCCGATGGCAGTAATTCGTTTAGCTATATTGGGGCTAGCGGCTAGTGTCAGCGATGCAGCAAGCAACTTCCACGTGATTGCTTGCCCTTGTGCCTATACTGAGCTGCTGGCGCTGATAAAGCACTCGTTGTTGTTATTATGGCAACTATGGCTTCGCTTATCACTAGTTAATACCTTGTCTTGCTGTCCTTGGCTGCAGAATTAAGCTGCTAGCGCTGCTACTGGTGCTGCTACTACTACTGCTTACACTCCCAGAGCCCGAAACGGCAATTGGGGTTGCAAACTCGCTTGAGTATGTTGGGTACGTTTGCCGTTTCTGTAATTCTGGATTGATGTATTGGGTGCCTCCCGGATTCCCGGCTCTTGCTTGCTCTAGTTACCATTATACAGATCGCGTCTGTTCTTGACCAGTGTTTCTCTGGTTGCGATTGCTAGCTTATAGCAGCAGGCGAGGTCCTTGACTGCTTTGCAGCGACTGCGTGAAATGGACGCACAGGATCTACGATTTGTAGCCTCAGGCCACTTGATGGCACTTGCAACTTGAAGTGGAACAGTGTGGAAGCTATGCTTTGAATTGCCTGCTGCGACCATATGTCTAAAGTAAAGCTCGTTTCAACTTTCTTGGTGAGTAGTGGCTGCCTTCCGGAACCGATGATGCTCGGCGGCAGGACCCACAAGACCAGACCCCTCAGCTTCTCGAGCAATCCCACAGGGCTGCTGCCGGATAGGTGGCGAAGAGCAGGGGCGCGTAGCCGAACATAGACTGCAACAGATGGATCTTTCAGTCGAATAGGGTTTTGAGGTATATTACACTATAATTATAATAAGGAACCCCCAAAACCCTATTCTAATTACTAAGGGTCCCATTATACTAGACAGACCGTTTGAATGTATCTTGGCATGGGAGGTCCTTTAGCACCGGAGTCCCAAACCCTAATATAAGGGCCTTAATAATTCGAATGGGGTTTTGGGGCCCATTATACGAGAATTAGAATAAGGAACCCCCAAAATTTGTATAGGTAATTATTTAGGCCCCTATATTAGAGCCTCAACCTTTCAGGAGTTGTTTGCAGCTATTTGCTCCGGACCCTTCTCTCGATACAACCTGATTGGAAAACCTTGGGGGGTTGTGTGCAGCGACAGAAAAGGCGTTAGTGCACACATGAACGGCAATGAAACCCTAAACCCAAAACCCTCTGTAGTTCTGGTAAACACCATGTCTATGCTCATGTCGAAGTATTGAGGCCACAGAAAGTGTCCCTGAACCACGCTGTGGAACTTGAAATTAGCCTAAAAGGCCCAATGCTGACAGAGGAAGCTATGCAGTCCTTCACAACCCTATTCTTTGTGCTTCGGCCCCTCTACAGATAGGCTTTCGGGGGTTCTGTTGGGGACAGCACCGGCTTGAAGATTCATGTTGTCACTTATTGTGCCGAGGATAAACTGAACGGTCCGACGGGGCAACCACACTCGATACAGTCTGTTGCATCCTCGAAGAAGTACATGTTGATCTCCTTGCTAGCGCCATTGTCTGCTACACCTGGGCGGCATCCGACAACTCTTGGGTCAGGTTCGCGGTCGCAGGTGGGGCTTTGTGGGGTGCGTCGAAGAGCAAGGAGTCCATTTCAGGCCCTGACTTTCATGACATCCCTTGTGCCTGCAGGCCGCCAAGCAGGGCCTGCGCCCCAATGACTAGTGACTGGTCTGCTTGCCCCTGCCCTTCTCGACTATGGATTTGCTCAGATCCATCACGTTAGTGGGCGGCGGGCGGGGGCCAGTTCAGCAAGCTTCACGGCCTCGAGGCATAAACCCGAAACTTCAAGACCGGCATGCACAGATCTAAACACGAGTATGGGAGCCTGACTCATTACCAACCCTATGCCCCAGGGTTCCGTTTGTATGCCCTTAAAACCTATTCTAAGATCCAGGCCCCTGTATCTTTCCAAGTGCGACTTCAATATGATCCGAGTAGTACTACGACCTTGGCAACTGGGTCAAAAGAGGCACCGGGGCGACAGCTACAATGCTCTAACACTGAGGCCAAATTTAGAAAACAATAATACACATTAAGAAACTGAAGGACACGAGCAGCAGTGGAAACGACACAAATCATGACCCGCTTAACCAGCATCAAAGAGCCCTGCACCAACCCCGGGCCTTCAAAACAAACCTTAATGTAGGGGCCTTAATTATTAGAACAGGGTTTTGGGGCCCAGTATACTATACGTATAATAAGGAACCCCAGAAATAGCAGGCCCCTATATTCTACAGCCCTTCTAGATCCCTGATACAGACCCTGCATCCCCATCCCTAAACCCTAAACCCTAAAACCCCAAAAACCGTAAACCCTAAACCCTAAACCCCGAAACCCTAAACCCTAAAACCACAACCCTAAACCCTAAACCCTAAACCGGGGAACCCCCATGAGCTGGGCGCCCTCTGGCCGGATGATCTCACAGCGCTCTCCGGGTCTCTGGGTTTGGAGGAAGCCTTTCGGATCTCTTGGGGCATCATTCAACGGTTTAGGGTTTGGGTTTAGGGTAGGGTTTAGGGTTTAGGGTTTAGGGTTTAGGGTTTAGGGTTAAAGGGTTTAGAGTTCAAGGTCTGGGGTTAAGGGTATATATGGAC